AGTAGATAATGATAAAATTAAGGCCATCAATGATCTTAAAGTACCATCCAATAAGAAATAATTGCAGAGACTACTTGGCTTGGTTTAGAAAGTTTATTCCGAATTTAGGGGAAATTGTAAATCCACTTTGTCAGCTACTTAAAAAAGAAATTGTGTTTCAGTAGTTAGACATACCTACATAATAAATCTCTTGAAGATATCAAACTTGTATTGAATAAAAATATTACGTTAAAAAACTTTGACTTCAAAAAAGATATTGTTATTCAAACAGATGCATCACAACATGGACTTAGACGTTGCCTAATGCAAGATGGTGAACCAGTAGCATTTGCATCGAGAGGCTTGACAGAAACTGAGAAAAACTATGCAAATATTGAAAAAGAACTGCTGGGAATTGTTTATACTTGTCATAAATTTGATAATTTTATGTATGGCCGCCCTGTTAAAATTATTACTGATCACAAAACGAATGTAAGTGTTATGAACAAGCAGATATCCTCAATAAACTCACCCCAATTACAGAGGTTGAAGATAAAATTGTTGAGATATGATTTACAAGTTTGTTATCAGCCTGGGCGATATTTACGTATTGCAGATTATTTATCCAGAAATGTAAGTAGTGAAATTGAGAAAGACGATGAGGATATGAAAGAAATAGTACAGGGTTATTGGTTATAAATGTCACTCCGTCTATCTTTTTTATTTGACATTTTAGAGAAAAGTGTCCCAAATAAAAGTTTTATGGTTAAAATTAAGTTTTTTGAAAAACTCACTTTTGCATGTACAGGGTGTTTCAGAAAAGCTGCTCGTGCTTCAAATTTCGTATTTCAAATAGAACACCCTGTATATTATTGGATAGGTATTCGGATTCTACGTGAAATTCTGAGCAGATTTCATGTGATATACCCTATACTAAGTTCAACTGTTTTGGAAATATTGACAGTTGAAAATTGACTTTTTTGCAACTTAGACAGGCTGTAAATCCTAAACGGTTAATTTTAGAGCAAAACCGATCTTAGATTTTTATCTTTCATTTTCATAAACTATCAGTTGACACTAATATTTGACATCAACTTTGAATTTAATCTATGATTGAAAATTTCAATTAAATTTGACCTTCGGTTAAATTCAATTTGGTGTCAAATGATAACTTGTGAAAATCTTAGAAAAAAATGTAAGATCGGTTTTGCTCAAAAGTTAACCATTTATAAGGTTTAACAGCCTGTCAAATTTGCAAAAAAATCAATTTTCAACTGTCAATATTTCCAAAACAGTTGAACTTAGGTAAAGTGTTTATCACATGAAATCTGCTTAGAATTTGACATAGAATCCGAATATTGAATATTATACGGGGTATTCAATTTAAAATTAGAAAGTTGGAGCACGACCAGCTTTTTTAAAACACCCTGTATATGCAAAAGTGAGTTTCTCAAAAAATTTAATTTCAACCATAAATTCTTTACTTGGGACACTTTTTTCTAAAATGTCAAATAAAAAAGATAGAGGGGGTGACATTTATAACCAATAACCCTGTACATCTTATGGTACATTCAGTTGAGAAATATTTGTGAATGAGTGAAAGAAGCAAAGAATAGTTTAGACAAGAAACCATAAAGGATAAAGTCTCGGATAAAGTATTGAGTCAAGTTCGAGGTCAAGTTATTGAATGTTGTTTGAATGGTTGGAAAAATGAAAAATATGAAGGAGAACTGGGAATTTTTACAAGTTACGAGCTGATTTGTATCAAAATAAAAATCTCATTTTTTATAATGACAGGGTGGTGGTTCCTCAATTATTGCGTAAAAATATGCTAAAAGTACTAGGTACATGAAGGTCATTTTCGCATAACTCGTACAAGAGATTGGGAACGAAGTGTATTATTCTGGCCTGGAATGAGCATAGATATTGATAAGAAATTTCGAGGGAAATTTGGCAGTCTCAGTTGTGTAAAAGATATAGATATGCTAATGTAAAAGAACCACTCATATCACATAATATTCCTGAGTTACCTTTCCAAAAGTTAGGTTGTGACATCCTGGACTATGGAGGAAATTCATATTAATTTAGTAATTGTAGATTATTTAACTGAGTGGTTAGAAACTATGTTTTTAGAAGGAAAACAGTCTTACCATATTATTAGTGTTTTGAAACAAATATTTGCGACACATGGAATTCCTGATGATGTTATAGTGTCAGATAGCATGCCTTCCAATTAGTATGAATGTACATGTTTTGCGAATGAGTTTGGCTTCAAATTTCCCTAGATATCCGCGATCCAATGGACTTGCTGAAAAATGTGTGCAAATAGCTAAAAACATTATTCAGAAATCAGATGATTTGTGGGTTGCTTTGATGGAGTATCGTAACACGCCTATTAGAAATCGTAAAAGGTCTCCTGCTGAACTCTTGTTTTCTAGGAAATTAAAAACTAAGTGACCTTTGCTTGAAGAACCTAGTTTTAAAATTAAAGAATTCAGGAATGAATATTAGAATATAGAAATAAGAAGTATTATGATAAACATTCTAAGGAAAGGCCAGACTTTAAAGAAGGTGAAAATATCATGTATAAGGGATGTAAATCAGTGGCGTCGTGCAACTATACTATCCAAGCATAAAGCTCCAAGGTCTTACTTGATCAATAATGGTTCCAATGTTTTAAGGCGGAATAGTAATCATTTACGCATCGCAGAAATTCAACATGATTTATCAAGTAGACAAAGTAATCGCAGTGATTCTGGTCTATTTATTTATTTATTTATTTAGTCTAGAGCAGGATACATTATCTAAACATGAATCTTTCAATTTTGGAACTGATAATGATGGTATTGTTGCAGAGCCCCAAGGGCGGATGGGACCGCCGGGACACCGGGCAAATGCCCGGTGGGCCGGACACTAAGGCTTCCCTTAAACATACAACTTTCCTGCTTTTCCCGAATCGAAGGGCCGGTGGCCCTGGTGGGCTTGATACTGAGAGATCCAGGGCCGGTCTGACCTTAACCCCATCCGCCACTGCAGAGCCCTGTATCATTGAGAATACCAGGGCAAAGAAGTTTAACAGTTGCTCACCAGGTGAAAATCGGGGATATACAAAGTCCAATTGTAGTATTAAGAAGCCCTCTAGGTTTACTGATTATGTTATGTATTGTTAATGATAATATCCGCATTGTTAACATTTAGTCTTAATGTATTTCCATAAATCCGTAAAGTCTAAGATGTAGTAATAGCGAGAGTAATAGTCATTAACGTTAGTTGTCAGTTGACCCTTATAAAAATAAAAAAACTGTTTAGTAGCAAGTATGCTTTATTTAGAAAATATCTATATTATAGCTGTTTTCTTGCGTCCACTTTTCTGACATTGGTTCAAAACAGGTTTAAAACAGCCGAGGAAACAGGCAATGGTGTTACCATTGCCCACTCCAAAAATGTTATGAATACATACTTGGCACACACTACTTTTTTACTATAATATTACTTTCAATATACAAATTCCGAGGGGTTTTTCACCTAACAAAATTTGTACACCGATTAACAGTACTAACTAAGATATTTCTATGTACCTAATAACAAGTTATTGCCAACTATTTCCATGTATTAACAAAATATTTCCACATATTACCAGGTATTAAGTACCCTCGGTATTACCATGCTAATAACAGACTAAAATCAAATATTTGTTTCACCAGAATTCTAGGAATTGACATATCCACAGGTATTTACATTAGGGTTGCCAACCTTCCTACATTTTGGTGGACATCCACCATTTGGGGTTCATTGTCCAGCATCCTGTAACAGCCTATTGCAGGACGCCTATTGTAAGTACTTAATTTTCAACTTAATGAAGAACCCTGTCAAATAAGGCCGGCTGTAAACCTGGTTCTGGTTTATAAGGAAAACCATACATTACTTGAAAATGGAATTAATTATTTTTGACTTAATACTGAGTTGAAAAATTTCTGGATCATTTTGCAACTTGTATTTTCTATTGTGCATTGAACACATCACGGCAGAACTGCAAGTAAAGAATAATTATTCTTATACTTGCAAAGAATTTCATGATAGTAAGAGGTAACAGGTCTGTTCTCGCAAGAGTCTCTGACAGTTTGCGAACTGTCAGTAAGCATCGCACATACATGTTTTCAATGCCGTCGTTTCAATATAAATTGGTAACTTAGCTGAGCGATTGGTCCTGACAGGTTACAGGTTGCCAACTATCAGAGACTCCTGTGAGAACAGACCTAATGAGAAGTTAATGGTAGCTGCAAAAAGTGAAAAAAAAAATAATAATAATAATTTTAAACGCTGTATCTATAGGTCTGTTCGCACAGCAAGTTTGTGAATGGTATGTTTCTCTGCAATAAAAAAAATGTCCAGAATTTATACCTTATGTCCTGATATTTTATTACCCTTGTCCAGAAAAATTAAAAAATAAAGTTGGCAACCCTAATTTACATGTTATTAATGGGTATCAACCAAGGACATTATTATAACATTATATTGCCTAGATTCCTAGATATCCGGTCTTCAAAAAAAAAGCCAATCAAAGATTGCTATGGTTTTTTGAACGTACGTCTTAGCAATATTTTTCTTTAATTTTGTCAATGAACTTTACTGTCAAAATGTCATGTCAAACATCGTGACCAATAAAGAAACAATAATTTGACATACGCAATCTTTGATTGGTTTTTTTTTTTTTAAACCCGATATCTACAAGTATTGACATATATTACCTACATAATTAACAAGTAGGTATTGCATAGTATCAACGATAGTATTGATATTATTAACATAGTATTTACCTGGTATCGACATATATTAACCAGTGATTTGTACACCGATTAACAAGGTGAAAAACCCCTAAACAATTAAGCCCATTTTCAGCCAACACCATTACTGATTCATGTTGTTAATAAAATATAAAATATGAGTAGGTAAACTTGTATCAGAACAATTTTGTCCAATTTAACCCCATTAAAAATTTATAAAAATCAACCCCTACTCACCAATCCATTTAGCATCAAATCCTGATCGTCAGTCAAAATATAAACAAAATTAGGGGGCACCCGGTCACCCCGGGCGCATTTCAGCAGCACAAAAAGCAAAAACACGAATTTGTGAATCAAAAAAACACACTGCATCGTTTTTAATCACTATTTAATTTATCCTAAACATAAAACACAACTATTTAACAACTCAATAAAGGCGAAAAATTAAGGTACAGAAGGAACCAACTCGATTCCTTGGCATTCCTGTGCTATCCGTACGCCGAGAGCGAATATTCCGATGCTTTTCACCAGGGCCCTACAACATTAAACATGGAAAAAAATCAATTATTCCTAACCCCACTTTCAAAATACAATGCTACACTTGCCATTTGAATTCGTCATAGTACAATCCCTGCAAGAATTGTACGATTCCTCCTTGTTTTGCCATTATCTTTGGAGTTTTCCTCGTGGAATTACCTTAATTGATTAACTTTTTGAAAAGTTACAACTTGGATTTTTCCCGAATTTCGAAAATCAAATCAATAAACTTCAAATTTATGACAGTCGGCCTCAATCCTTCATGATGACATTTATGACAGTAACAACCAATGTAACAACAATATTTTTTCTTTTAACACATAAATGTTATTATCTATTTCTTTCTAAACTATTTTATAGAAAAAGGCAGATATATTATTAAATCCATTGCTAGAGTAGTCTAAAGCCAGGTATTGATTTTGATGCACGACTGAGCGAAATAGATATTGTGTAGGAAGAATTTTTTTGTTGAAGAATTCAAAGACCGCATCTCACAAAATTTTATTTATTTAACAATTAACCATAAATAAATATAACAACAATTACTTGCTTTCTTTTCCACCTTGTTAAAGCTGAAAATACTTATGGCAAAATTGTTTACTGAAATTCATAAGCCACTTCTTTCATAATGGCTCGTACATCTGGAGCCAATCCCATTTTATGGAGAACATCCAAAATGAGCATTCTCCAAAAAGTAACTATCCTTATGATACTAGAAATAGAAATTTAAAAGCTATTAAGAATATAGTATTGAATTTGAAACTTACAACAAATTCGTCTCAAACCAAACTTTTTGCGGATAGACGAGCGCTTTCTTCAAAATTCCTTTTCCATGAGTCTGGAATGAAGCTTTTGTCGCCATCCTAGCCAAAACTGCGTATCTGTCTATGGGACAACCATGATCATATGAAATTGCTCTGATGGTATTAAGATTTCTAAAAAAAAAAAAGACTACCATAAATGTACTACTTTCAAACTTTCAGAAAATCACAAAATTAATATCAAAGAAGGGAATCATGGTATTTCAGAATAGGAACTTGGAATTCAGAAAAGAGAAATTGAATTTAAGAATAGTAAATTTAATTTCAGAATAGGTTAAATGCGTTAAATGAAATTCAGATGAACTATACCAATTTTGAATTATTTCTATTTCTGATTTTCAAAAATATCTGAATTACAATTTATGAGTGAAATACCATATTCCTATTTTGAATTAAAAATTCCCGTTTCTGAATACATATTATGTTGCTTTTCTGAATTACAATTTCATTCTTCTGGAAGCTTAAATCTCCTTTCTCAAATACACTTATTTCTGCTTTCGGGATTAGGTACAACTGAAAAAGGTGTAGTGTAGGTATTTAAATCCTATAGAGAAGATCTGCTCCACTTTTAAATGGACTTCAACAAAAAACATAAATGTTTGTTACCTGACAATTAACAATAATGAACGTGGCATTTGTTGCAGACAGTTAACAATCATATCGAAACGTTCACCAGCAACTTTTGCCATATAGTCTTCCTCATCTTTATTTAATTTTTGTTTCAATTTGAAATTTGTCGATCTTAGAGGCGACTGAGTGATTACTTCTGCCAACATTATGTAATCTAAAAAAAAAAAACAATCGGTAATGAACAGTTTTTTTAAATATTGACCATAAAGCTTGGTTAACACGGTCCAAAGTACCCTTGAATCGTATCAGCTCTTTATCGAAGTCCAGTTGGATATAGGTTGTTACATCCAAGTAATAGTATAGGCTATGGCTGCCAACTTACTTGGTGCAAATTTTTATCCAAGTTTACTTGGACCAAACACTTTGGACCATGTCAACCTGGCTTTACTGGGATGTTAGGACCTATATCTAACTAAAATTGGATGCTCAACAGTCCAAGTAAGCCCCAGACAGCACTCATGTGTTTCGATCTTCAGACGTCTTTTTTTAGGTCTGCATTACGTCTGAACGTCTGAAGACCAAAAAAAGACATCTAGAAGACGTTGTTTTGAAGATGTCAATAAGATGTCGTTAATTCACATCAAGAAAACTATTTGGTAGCTACAATCAGACCTAAAATTTAATAATGGTTTATGTATTGAAAAGAAATTCAAAGACGTCTTTAAGACATTTCGTTGAAGACGTCTTTACTCCTAAAAAGGTCTGAAAGAGGTTGGGTTTTGTAAAATAAGACATCTTCAAGATGTCTTTGAAACGCCTATAGACTTAAACAAGCTTGTGTAGCGGAACATTCCAAACGGGCAGATAAATGCAGTCTTATCTCGATCACAGGATCTAACTGACACCTGATGATAACCAGACTTAAAATCTAGTGTTGTCATGTAAAATGTCTTCTTTGCTGCATGGAGAATGTCGTCAATCCGCGGCAACGGATACCTATCTGGCGTCGTCTTAGCATCAAGCCGGCGGTTATTAACGGTCAGCCTGGTCCCACCATCTTTCTTGGGAACCAGAACTACCGGAGCAGCGTAAGGAGATTCACATTTTTCAATAATTATTCCTTCCGTAAGTAGGTTGTTATAATTTCTTGCTTTAACTGGATCCTTTTAGTCTCAGACAAGCGATAAGGAGGAACGGCAATTGGGATGTCATCCGTCAAGGTATAATAACATGTTCTGCAAAGGGAGACGGTTCTACACTGATATTGAACAGATCCTGGTTTTGCATCTTGTTGAATTTATGATTTTCGCTTGGCGAAAGGTTTAAACTTTCATCCTCTCTAATATTGACTGAACAACTAACTAATGTCGACAGAATGGGTTGCGGTTTCTTGAAGGTAAACAGGTTTAATTGGCTCCGACTCAAATTTGAAGCTTATTTCAGGTTCATCGCTATAGAACCATGAATCATGGGGAACATCCAGAATTGCTGATATAAAAAAATCTGCTCCTAGAAGTGTTCTGTTTTCCTCATGATCTGGGACAGAAATCATGGTAATATGATAACTTCTATTTTTCAACACAACTTTCACATCAAAATAAAAGGCATTTGCTGGAGAAGCTCTACCATCTGCTAAGGTCATATCTAATTTTCCGTGGATTCGAATAGGTAACCAAAAGTATGCCTTAATGACAAAATAGCTTCATCAAAACTGTAGTAGCATTGAAAGTCCTTTGAGAGCATGCTGGTCTTGGTATATCAAGGCAATCTTTGTGGACTGTTATGGCATCGATGAACGCATCGACATCTTCCTCGATATTTCCACTAAACCGAGATTGGCATGCAGAAAAGTTAGCTGTGGTACTTACATTTTGTTGGACTTAGTTGCCTGTGTACCAATATTCACATCTTGTATACCAGCTAATAATCTTTGAAGCATATCTGACAATCTGTTACACTGGAGGAGCAGTTTCATTAATTTGTGGCATCGTGCTTGATTATGGCTGAAATCTGGATTCGACTTTAGGCAGACGTCTGAAAGACGTTGGGTTTTGTGACATACGATGTCTTTTTGGGACGCCCTGAATAATATCGTTTGTGGACATCTAAAGGCGTCTTTAAGATACCTCTGTGCTGTCTGGGACGGTATTTGATCCAAGTACACTTGAAGCGTCAACCTAGCTTAAGGCTGAAGCCAGTTATTCACTGGAACAATTCCCAGCTAATGATGCTCGGCCGAAGTTTATGAGAATATTTTTAGCATAAAGATTCTTACCATCAACTCCTAAAGACTTGGAATAAGTTTTCATATTATCATGATTGGCAAGCACGATGGCTTTCCAAAAATGGCTCAGAGCCATCCTTTCTTCCTTCGTGGTTGTTTGATACAGCCCATGATCGAGAATTACTAATTCTGTTTGTCCATTACATTTTCTAACCAATACTAAAATAGTTAACTCATGGAGAAAGGCAAAAACAATTTTAGTTGGTTATTTTCAAAAATTCTTACCATTTCCAGGATGCGGATCTGCATGAACAAAGCCAGTTTGAAAAATTTGATATCCAAATGTTTCAAATAATTTATAGTTTATATCGACTAATGAAAATCCCTCTTTTTTTAGCTTTGCAGTGTCACTTATTTTGATTCCCTCTATGAATTCAGTTACCAACACTCTCTGAAATGCAAATTAACATATTAAATCACACGCAATTTTTTTAAAGAATGGTTTACAAGGCAATAAAACTATTATTAAGCCAGAATGACACGGTCCAAGTGTACTTGGCGCGCTTCACTTGGACGATACTTGGATCGTATCAACTGCTTATCCAATTCCAGTTGGATAGGTTCTTCTAACATTAGGCTGGCTGCCAGCTTACTTGGTCCAAGTTCTGATCCAAGTGCACTTGGACTGTGTGAACCTGTTCTAAATCGTCCAATTTTTCAATTGTTCAAAATACGAAAAAGTTCTAGCTGACGTTTTATTACTTACAAATATCATTCCATACCGTATTAGTGTACTCCCACAAAACTCTCGGCACGTGAATATAATTGAAATGACTTAAATCTTTGGCGCATCTTTCTCCATTTCTACCTTCATTCACAAAATCCAGCTCTTGTTTCAGCGCCTCTTCAAAATCGTTCAAAATCCACGTGAAATCTACTTTAGGATGAAACCAAGTGCCGATTTTCAGTAACAAATTTATCGTCATTATGTCGCCGTTCAGGCGTTTCTGAAGATCGTTGTATTGGACTTTTACCGCGACTTTTTTGCCTTGTTTGGTTGTTGCTTCAAAAACCTTTGCATAGAGTTAATTTGACCCGTAAATAATACCTACTCACTTGTGCTATACTGGCAGCTGCTATTGGATTGCAATCGAAGGTTTCAAAAATGTCTTCGGGCGATTTTCCAAAGTCTTCTTTAAATACTTCATAAAGTTCTTCATTATTTCTACATAGGCATTTGTCCTAAAACCAAATTACGTACATGTGAATTAAAATTAGTTAGTGGTAATGTCCAAGCATTCAACAAATGAGCAAAATATTTGAGCTATTTTCATATCCATTCGATTAATGTACAGCTAAATGTGTACAATATCAAAACTTCAGAGAATGGAAAGAATTGAAGGCCTAGAACTCAACCTAACAGATCCTGGATCAAGGTGAATCCCATATATTATACCTACTAAAAGAGATTGAGATATTTCAGCTGAAGCTCCACAAGATCTCACTTATAGGATCTGTCCTATTTAATTTTTGTTATGTTGATGTGTTTGTCCTTATCAACTGGATATCTTTATAAACTTTAAAAATATTCTTTAGCATGAAGAATGTTGATAGTTTTTTTTTTTTCAAAATGACGGTAAGACGGGTGACATGATTAAATTGAATCAATAATGCCTAAGTGAAGAAGCAAAGTCAATGGGAAATTTTCTTCAGACCCGTGCAATCTGCCAGGTATGCTTATAGAAGTTATTACATGAAAATATACATATTAATGGTCGATTGTAAATACTTTATTTCAAAGCATTAAGACTTCCTAATTTTCATTACCTGAAGTACTTTCAAAGTACTAACATATTCTCTTGGTAAAATATGACTCAAAGACACCAAACCCTGTCCCAGTTTGATGTAAGTTCCTCCATTTTGTAGACAGGCGTCTCTAAGTCTTTCCGCGCATCTCAGGTGTATTTGACTCATCTTGGATTTGTAATTTGGATCATCTTCTGACTGGCCCAACATTGAAATGTAATAGTCGAGTGATATAGTTAAACCTACTTTCATAGACCTAAAAAAATTAAGCATATAAGTAGTATCAGATTTTCTACAAGCATACTCTTATTTCTCACCTCACAAGCCTGACTAGTCCACTAGCAGTTAAAACTACATTTTTGTCGTCACTACTTCCAATGGCCACTGCTGCCAATCCTCCAGTAGTGATACCAGTGATTACATATTTGCGATATCTACTTCTGGCATTTTCTGAAAAATTGTGATATTCCCGAGAATAACGTCTCGAACTTCTCATTGCGATGTATTTTTGAATTAAACGAACAGTCCATTTTGTCATTTTATGAAGCTCCCACAACAACTGTATTTCGTATCTGGAAAATAAAAAATAATTTTGCAATAATAAAGCAATGTTTTAGAACAATTAAACAGTGATTAACCTTCGTCGGCGTAATTTGACCGACTTCGAATATTTCTATTTTATTCAGTCAGCTTGCTATATGAGATTTTAGTTAGTTACAATGTTTGGGTATTATAAAAATATCCAAACATCGTAAGTTGCATTCCAGCATGCATTTAAGTAATTATAGTCGCAGTGTTTTATATTTTTGCAGTTTTTGTCACGATTAGTTTACCAAAATCTAATATAAAAAGGGATGTAAGATTCGAAATAAATCAGTATTCATCTTGCTTCAAAAGGTGTTTTACTAAAATCGTTTCCTGTGCCCAAGCTTTCTTGGCCAACGCAGAGAGTGAGGCTGCTCTTTGACAGAAAACGATACAATCGTCCCGCTGCTCAACCAAGCCGATTTAGGCAAGCGTAATCTGCGAGCACAAGTTGCACATTGGTCCTATTCGAGCCTAAAACAAGTCCAGAAGACTCGCTGTCCGTCTACAACGTCCGTTCATACAGCCAGTCCAGAAGACTCGCCGTCCTTCCACAACATCATTCCACACAACCGTACGTCTGTCCAGAATAAATAGTCATCAAAACAATCCAGTCACCTGTCAAACACAGCCATGGTAGAAAAGGAGGAACTTGACCCTCTTGCACGAGAACAAGCAAAATCAGGAATGCAAATCGTTCAACTACGAAGTAACTGCAAGAAAGGCTCGGTCGATAGGAAAACCGAGGCCTACGTCCAAAAGCACTAGATGCGATACTACAAACAAGACCTATACTTGCTAACATGCCCAAAGGCCAAACCAACAACACTCCAATCTGAGCCATCCATCATCAGCACCCAAGAGAAATTGATAAAAACGCGAAACTTCAAAATGCAGCAATTGGAAGACACTCTCGCATAAATTAGGTCGGAACTTACGCTAGAACAATCAGAATTCCGATATAAAACATCTGATGGAATCAAGCAAGAAACAATGGGATACAATCCAAAACCTGCATGAAGAAATCGCTGTAAGTGAAGATAGCCATCAAGATAATTACTTCACCATGGACGTGTACAAACAAATCCAGAGTCAATTCGATGACGTCATTGAAGCGTTAGCGGCAAAAATCCAGCAGAATGTCGTCATTCCACCTGAACAAATACTAGTTAATCAACGACAACAGAACCCGCAGCTAGCAAAAGTACAAATTCCAATTTTCCATGGAGGGTATGAAAACTGGTTTTCATTTTTCGACATTTTCAGAAGGGTCATCCATGAAAATTCAGCGTTGAACCAAGCCGACAAGATGCAACACTTAAAAACTAATACCAGGGGAGAAGCAAGCGAGCTAATCCAATTAGAAGCAATTGCGGCCAACTACCATTCAGCATGGGACCTATTGCAATATGAGAACAAAAGGCTTCTAATATTTAAGCTCCTAGACAAGTTAATAGACTTACCAGAAGTCCCAAGAGAGAACGCCGAGAAACTAAAGCAGCCGATGACGTCACTAGCGAGTGTTTACAAGCACTAAAAAATCTATGTAGACGTCAAAGTTGACACCTGGGGACCCATAGTAATCCGAATGACAATGAGAAAGTGGGACTCCGAAACCAGCCGTCTATAAGGACAAAGTCTTGAGAAGCCTCACGACGTTCCAGAGTTGGAAGAGTTCATGAAATTCTTGGAAAGAAGATTCCAGTGATTCCAGTCAATAGAAACTATTCCAGGATCAGAACGGAAGCCAAGCTCAGAGAAAAAATACACTACCTCATCAAGCTGTCTCTTCTGCCAAGACCAACACATGATGTACAACTGTCAGAAGTTCAAAGGAATTTCAGCACAGGAAAAAAACAGATATGTTCAAGAAAAACGTATCTGCTACAATTGTCTTAGCCACGACATCAATAAGAGATGTAGCATCTGCAGTCGTCAACACCATACACTCCTACACATGGAAAGACAGCAACAAATTTCGAACAGGCAGCCCAACTACGAAGAAAGACCGACAACTTTCCAACTGCGAAATACTCAACGATACCCACCACCAAGAAGAGCAGAACATTACCCATCAAGGGCGCGATGTCTAACCACGCCAATAGAAATGAAGGAAACGTCCTACTCGCTACTGATCTAGTAGAAGTGAGCACATCAAGTTACCTCCAAGTCTTGAGGATTCTCATTATTGATCAAGGGTCACAGATATTCATTATTACTGAAGAAGCTGCAAATCGGCTGGGAGCATCAGAGCACAAATCTCAGAAATTGGTGATGGAGAACCAAAAGTCTCTTAATGGTCTATTGACGCACAGATCAAACCACGATATATGAGCACATTCTCCGTGGATGTCAATATGATTGTCCTTCCAAAACTTACTCAATCCATGCCAAAACGACACCTACACATAAATAGCATAGATAGTTGAAAGAATGAAGTGCTAGCCGATCCAACATTCATGACACCAGACGCAAAGGAATACGCCAATATCATTTTAAATGGCATGCAAAAAAAGTACAGAAGGTCTGTTGAAACAAAACAGAGTTAGGATGGATCGTTTCTGGCCCAATAGCATTCTGAACCCCCGCCATCCAGGTTGGCAGCATGATCACTCACTATGAAGAAGATAGACAGCTAACCAAGTTCTGGGAAATTGAAGAAATAACCGAAGCGCAGCACTTAAAAGGAGAAGAGCAAGCATGCGAAGTGATTTTCGAGGAAACCACAACTCGAAACTCTGAGGGTAGATTCATTGTTATAGAATCCCATTCAAACAGTCAGCAGATGTATTAGGTCACTCTAAACCAAGAGCCGCAGCAAGATTCAAGAACATTGAGAGAAAGTTACATCAAGATCCCAGTTTACAAGAACAATATTCTGCATTTATGAAAGAATACATAGAGTTGGATCATATGAGAAAAGTCACCCGACATGAAGTGAATCAAGGAAAATATTACATCCCTCATCAAGCAGTCATCAGAGAAGCCAGCACAACAATGCGACTAAGTTGTTTTCGACGCATCGTGTAAAAGCTCTACCAACATCACCCCCAATGACATCATGCACGTCGGCCCAAGACTGCAACAAAGCATCGCCGATATACTGCTGCGTTGGAGAAAGCATGAGATTGTGTTCTGCGCAGACATCTAGCAACCAATGTATAAATATGAACTGACCACTGTAACCCACGGTAAAGCCTCAGCACCATATCTAGCCATTAAGACACTACAGAAGCTTGCAATCCAAGAATCAAACAAATTTCCGGCAGCAAGCCAAGCAGCATTAAGAGACTTCTACGTCGATGACATATTATCGGAAGCAGCAGATACAGAATCAGCCCTAGAACTACAAAACCAACTATTAAAAATGCTCAGCCTTGCTAGATTCAACCTGAGAAAATGGTCTAGCAACTAGCCGGCATTACTCCAATCAATTCCAGAACAGTTCCGAGAACAAAAAATACAAGAACTACCTCAGGAAGACTTCAAGAAATCTCTGGGCGTACTATGGTCACCACCAGACGATACCTTCAAATTCCAAGTATACGAGATACGCGAATTAACAAAACGACAAATTTTGTCAGAAATATCCAAGTTATTCGACCCCTTAGGATAATTGTCTCCAATCGAAATACAAGCTAGTCTCATCATTCAAGAGTTATGGCTAAGAAACCTGAGCTGGGATGAGCCTGTAGATCAAGAAAAATCTTCAAGATGGATACAGTTTCAGAGTAAAATAAAAGAAGTAGAAAAAATCAAGATTCCGAGGTGGATACATCTGAGAAAAACAAAAATTGAACTCCACGGCTTTTGCGATGCATCAGAAAAGGCCCATGGTGCAGTGATCTACAGTCGGATAAGAGAAGATAAGCGAATTATAACGCTGCTGCTTGGAATTATGTGCAGCAGTCCTACTATCAAAATTAATTCAAAGAAACTAAGACAGCATTCCAGACCTTCGCTTGCACCAACTCCATGATCACTCTTGCCTGGATAAAGGGTGACTCTACGAGATGGAAAACCTTCGTGGCAAATGGAGTTTGCGAAATACACAGAAACGCCCCTCAAGCATCCTGGAACCACGTCAAGTCCCAAGAAAATTCAGCAGACATCATATCCAGGGGATTGGACCTAGACAAGCTACAATCAGCTGATCTGTGTTGGAAAGGTCCTCAATGGCTGACGTTTCTCCGTGAAATCCCCATGACAGACAACATTCCCGACATTCAAGAAGAAGTAAAAGCCACATGTCACAAAATTGAAGTTACGATAAGGAGCGATATATGGGAACACTTCTCAAACTTGACAAGGATGCTCAGATTATCCTACTGCCGTCGATTCATCAAAATATCAAAAAAGGGGAAAGTCTTACTCTATCCGTTTAAGAAGTTCAAGACACTTTCGAAAGAATCATGAAAATAGTCCAACAACAAGAGTTTTCCGAAGAATACAAGTCTTTACAACAGCAGAACGCATCAGTCGACAAGAAAAGCAAGCTACAGAGTATCCGTCACAAAGCCGAGACCGCACAGCAACTCATGGGACAACTTCCGAAATCGAGAGTAACACCAGCACCACCATTCACACACTCAAGAGTGGACTACGCCGGACCGATTCAAGTCAGATCCAGAAAAGGAAGAGGTCACAAATCGTACAAAGGAATGCACCCTTTGCAGTTTTCATCTAGCTTCAAAAGGTGTTTTACTCAAATCGTTTCCTTTGCCCAAGCCTTCTTGGCGAACGCCAAGCCGAGTTGGGCACGCGTAATCTGTGAGCACAACTTGCACACACAATGTAAAATCTAGTTAAATGATGAACTTGTAACATATTTTTGAAATAGATTATAAGCAAGTATTACCCAGATAGTACACAAAGTCTTAAAGACGTCTTTTCTAGGTCTGCATTGCGTCTGAACGTCTGAAGACCAAAAAAAGACGTCTAGAAGATGTCCATACAAGATGTCGTTAATTCACATATCTTAAAGACAACTGAGCTACACTATTTGGTACAACTGGGCCTTAAAGTGAATAATGTATTAAAAAGAGATTCAGATACGTTTGACATCTCGTTGAAGACGTCTTTAAAATGTCATAAGGATGTTTTCAGACAGACGTTTGAGAGACGTTGGGCTTTGTAACATACAACGTCTTCAATTTATCTCTCTAATATGCCCTATTGAACACATCAGCAGACGTCTAAAAAACGTCTTGAATGTCGCTTGTGGACATCTTAGGGACGTTTTTAAGATGTCTACAAGAAGACCCCACAGAATTCGTTTCTTATTTAATCAAATTTTAGAAGTTACTGGGTGGAAACCATTTGAAATGCTAAAAGGCTAATAAGCCTTAGGAAAGTTCAAAACAATAAAAATTCAATTTAGAATTTCCAAACGTACCTATTCTGTAGCGCTTCAGAACAATTTGGAAACTTCAGAACCATTTTAAAATGCTCCAAAACATCAAAAACCGATTTAAAATTTCCAAACGCATCTAGAATTGCAGAAATATTTTAAATTGTGTCAGAATCTTAGGATTCAGGTTAAAAGTTAAAATACGTCTTTCAGAAGGTGTTCAAGAGCGAATTTGAAATGCTGTAGAACTTTAAACCTTTAATAAGCAGCTCAAATCCAAATCAGAATTTTCGGGAGCATTTTAGCACAACTTAGAAACATCAGAGTTATTTCAAAACAATCAGGATTCAATTTAGAACTGGAAAGCTTTTAGAACTCCTTCTCCTCCTTCAATATATAGTTCTCCCAAATACTTAGAAATCTTTCGAACAATTTAGAAATTATTGAAAAACATCTAAAATGCTCCAGAATTCTTCAAGCCAAGTTAGAACACCTCAGATTTTCAATAAGCTATTCAAAACGTTCCAAAACACTTTCCAGCAGCATTTTGAAAGGCTTCAAAGGCAAAAAGCGACTTTATTTCAGTCAAGCATCAGTTTTTTTCCTGTATAAGTACGTAAGTACGTACCAACGAAAGTATGCCTACAAGAGTAAAAACCTCGGTAAAAACTTTGCCCAAAAAATAAGTCCAAAATTGTCTATTTTGAGAATCGACTCAACTTCGAGCATAGGTACTGTTAAATCCTCCGTTCGTTAAATCAAAACTTGGGAAGGTAGGTATCTATTTTTAAATGAGTTGGATAAAGTAAAATCGATACTCTGGTCAAGTTTATTTTGTCCTCTGTTTAAGCCCTGAAGCCAACCCTTATAAAATATAACGCAGAGTCAGCTGCGAGTGTGCCCTTTTCCCTTCCATTTATAAGTTCAAAGCAACCCAGGGGAACAAACCCATCAAGCGGCGATGCCAAACTAGTGAACTTTACTGAAATTCAAGATTTTTAACAGAAGAAATTTGATTTTGATACGGTTTCTTCAAAGTAACAGGGCATTTTGGTTACAAGAACATATTTCAAAATGTTACCTAGGTATTACAGATAGAAATAGCTAGACTATAGAAGAGTGAACAGTTTAAAACAAAGGCTGAGAATATTACTTCTAGTTGCATTGAGTACGATTACCATACCAGCACAAAATTATCGTTTTCAATGTTAAATTTTTGATTATTCCTGGCTCTTGGTTCAAATCAAATTCCGGGAAAAATCACTCGATTGATTAATTTTTCAATATAGAAACTCTTAGAACCTTGCTTGCTACCATAAATCCGACATTTTCTTCTCAATGTATATTTGACTTAATAGGAAGCCACAAAATGGCAGCAGAAATGATTTAATTTGATCTTTTCCAATGTTCAATTTTTGATTATTCCCGGCTCTTGATTCGAATCAAGTGTCGGGAATAATCACTCGGTCGATTAATTCTAGAATGTAATGCCGGGTCCCGACCAAGCAGACAAAACAACGACAAGACAAAAGACATTCAAGACAAATCCAATACATTTCTGCAACATTTTTGTCTTTTTTTTGTTTTGTTTCCAAATTCCGAGACTTTTGAAAGTCCCGCCGTGAAGCAGTAAAGATCAAAGAGTATCTGTTTTGTCTGTGTATTTTACGACAAATTGTCGGTGTCGGCATAGTGTGGACGGGTGTGCTGAAAAAAGTAGGAGACCAATGTCAATTAGTGGAAAAAAAAATTTAATTAAAGCTTCACATACTTCAGGTATTATTACGCAGATATTAACTTCTTCGAGACTTTTGAAAGATACATTAGGCTTTGGTAGGAATCACCTGGTTATGGAAATCTTAAAGTGACTGCTAACCTTTCTGTTATATTTATAACGTACATTTCTGAAGCTAATGTTTTTTGGCAACTGCAGGACCAACAAGGCATATTAGGTTCTCGAAATCGTCGGTGGACATTCTTAGAACATTCTTATAATGCTTGAGCGAATCTCACCTCACCACTTAGTCTAATATCATCCTCACGTAACAACAATAATTTATTTTTTCTATTTTGGTGTCATATCGAAGTCTTTTCGACACTAAAAGTAGTTTCGAAAAGAAGCTCTTTGTGACACTCCTTTTTTACTTATCGGAGGTTGGTAACACTGGCTGACTGATGGCCATCGAACTGTCATTCGCGATAAAAAAAATAGAAGATTTCTATATTTGGCATGTAGTGTTGCCAACCTAAACATATGAAATCAGGAAATATGAGAATAAAATTTCCAAGAAAAGTTTTTTTTTTTAAATTAAACAATACCAAAATAGAAAAAATAGTATAAAATATTCGTTTCATAAGACATTTTATCGCACTCGCCCTTTAGAAAACTCGCCTCCGGCTCGTTTTCTAATATAGGGCTCGTGCGATAAAATGACGTCTTATGAAACTTGTATTTTAATGTACTATTTTCTATTTTGGTGTCATATCGAAGTCTTTTCGACACTAAAAGTAGTTTCGAAAAGAAGCTCTTTGTGACACTCCTTTTTTACTTATCGGAGGTTGGTGACACTGACTGACTGATGGCCATCAAACTGTCATTCGCTATTTTATAATAGAAGATTTCTATATTTGGCATGTAGTGTTACCAACCTAAACTATGAAATCAGGAAATATGAGAATAAAATTTCCAAGAAAAATTGGTTTTTTTTACTAAACAATACCAAAATAGAAAAAATAGTATAAAATATTCGTTTCATAAGACATTTTATCGCACTCGCCCTTTAGAAAACTCGCCTCCGGCTCGTTTTCTAATATAGGGCTCGTGCGATAAAATGACGTCTTATGAAACTTGTATTTTAATGTACTATATGGAAAAACTTTTTCGCTTTTTTACGCTTGATCTCCCTCAGAAACGTTTCATTTGTTCAAATAAATAAATTATAATTTTTAAGTACCTACCTGAATATTGAGCAAATGCATACTCCGAGTTTAAAAAAATAAGGGCGAAAAAATGTGTAGGTAGATACAAAGAACATGTACCTACCATTGAAGAGTACTTAACTAACTTGGATGAAGATGAGAGAAACATATAAAGTTGGCGGCTAGCAATAAATCTCCATTTTTTTAATTTTCTTTCTGGAAAAGCCACATGGTTAAGCAACTGATTCGCATCAACCAACAACTGAATTTTGTTGTTTGTTGCACATTTTTGTCTTTCTGTTGTGGACAGTTTGTCAATTTTGTCTTGTTTCAATAACCAAATTTTTGTCGCGGTTTTGTCGTGTTTTTGTCTCAAAATCGTGTTTTCTTTTTGTCCGCTTGGGTCTGGACCCGGCATAACATTTCTTCTAGAATGTTGTTACCATAAATCCGCTATTTTGTTCTCGATGTTTCATTGGCTTATGTAAATGGGAAGCCACAAAATGGTATCAAAAATAATTTAAATAAGTAGTTGATCATTTTGAATGTTCAGTTTTTGATATTTCCGGGGTCTTGACTCTTGATTGGAATAAAGTGACGGGAAATGGGAATAATCACTCGATTAATCAATTCTTTAATGAAGCAACCATAATTCCGCCATTCTCTTATCGATCTTGATCTTTGAGTTTTTTTCAATGGAAAACTACAAAATGGTAACTCAATTCATTTGATTGGCTAATCACTCTGTCAATGACTACAGATTTTAATTGATTAGTTGATATTTCATTGTTCCCTTTTAATTATACCTGACTCTTGATTCGAATCAAAAGATTTCCCACATTTCCAAAGAAAAAATCAAAAAGGATTTTCAACTGATCAACTTGGCACCGCCGTATAACGAAAATCGCTCTTGTCCTATGGCCTAGCAAGCAATTTAATTCAGTCGTATTCGGCGACTGGCCTGAATGCTGCTTTGTTTATCGTCTAACCGTGTCGCCTTAAAATTTAGTGGTTGTTCGACCCCTCTAAGCTAAAAAACTACCCTCTGTAACGACCCGCGCCCACCCAGGGAAACCCCTAGGAATTATAATTTTAAGGTAAGTTTGGCAAACCTGTAAATTTTAAAAACAATAAATTCAAAAAGATAAACACAATCAGCTGATTATTACTGTAATAATAAAAGCAATAAAAATGACGTCATTTTTAAATAAATGCAAGGTTATATGCGCTGCATTAGTTTATAATTCAAATTGTTGTTACCTTGTGTTTTTGAAGCTTAGAAGTAGGATTTCCTTTGTTAGCAATTTTAAATGTGCCCGATCAATGATGTAACTTGCACCAGTTTGAGTGTTGAGAGTGTTCTAGGTTAGAAAGTGGGGAAGAGGACAGACAAAGGTCACTGTCAATGATATAGAGAGAGAGGCAGAAACGACTTTTGGTTTGGATAATCGGGAACTTGCGCACAAACAATTGTCATAGTCAATTTTATGAGTAATGAAAATTTTCTTTTTGTCTATTCAAGCAAAATTCAAGGAACTTTTGTTAATAATTATAAAAATAAAAAAGTTAATACCACTTATTATTTTGCTCTATTTGACTTTTTTTTAACTTTAGGAATAATTATCATATTATTAATTAATATTAGCAATAATTAAAAAAATATTTTCGCTTTTTTTATGATAATGGGAAACTTTATTGCATTTGGAATCGTGGAGGGCACTTCACTGCGTGTTAAGCTGCCCATCGGCCACTCCAGTAGCGCACCCAGAATATTTTTTCGAGGAGTGTGAAGTAAGACAAAATTTAGGCAAAGACGAAATAAATAAAAGTCAGTCTCTCACGGGAAAAATACTTTTAGCTTTAATAATACGATTTTACATTTTTACAACCACATCTATTTCGAACCCTAGAGGGTACTAGACTCCCTGGCCTTCCCAAAAGCAACCCCTTCCGCTGCCTGCAATTGTTTTTCTATCTCTGTCTGGGCCCTTTTTTTATTGCTCGCTTTCCCTGACATTCTTGGGTTTTTAGGTCTGAACCTTCCTTTCAGTGGTGCCTACTTGGTTTTTCAAATGATAGAATTTATTTACATTGCATAAATTTTTACATTCGGCCATCCTACACTTAGTGGTTGTCCTCAACAAAAAAATATTTCTAAATTATTTTAGGTTTGATAAGCTAACACTATACAGGGTGTTTGGTACATCGATAGGAAGTTTTCAATGAGTGATAGTTGGGGTCATTTGGGAGCTGTTTGACCACATTTACCCTTATTCAAAGTTTCGTCGTTTTTGAGATATCGCCATTTTTAGATATTTTTGAATTGTTCCTAAAACATATTTTTTTTTTTTTTTTTGATAGTATACACTTTAACCGTTCTCAAATGTTTTTTCCGATACTCCTATATGCAATCTTTCGAAAAATACGGAAAAAAAACGAATGATTGATACAAAAAATTTGTAGCCCAAATTATGTGTTAAAATACATAGATTCAAAATATCTAAAAATGGCGATATCTCAAAAAACGGCGAAACTTTGCATGAGGGTAAATATGGTCAAACAGTTTCCAAATGACCCAACTATCAGTCATTAAAATATTCCTATCGATGTTCCAAACACCCTGTATATATCTAACTCCTTCATGAGACAATGAAAATCGTCTTATTGCCATGATAACAATAATTGCTTTACACCGCTTATCTTGAGAGCGATAACTCTTGTTCATGGAGCTAAAACTCCTATCGTATGGGCAACGACCCATTTTTGTCTCCTAGAGCGACAACTCTTCTTCATGGAGCAACAACTCCTAACATATGAGAGGCAACCTATTATTATTCCCCCAGAGCGACATCTCTATACCGGTTGAGCTAAAACTCATTTCTATGGAGCGGCAACTCCTTCCGGCTGGGCGGCAACCCACTTTTAACCAACTAACATAAGCAACGTTCTTCTTCTTTTTCACAAATCACATTGAACTGTTACCCAAAGTAGCTACTGTACTCCGCCTTTTCCTACCACCTTCTTTGAGGTCTTCAACTTCATATGGATCGTTGAATAGTACTTTCGTAACTCGGAACGGGCCCTTGAATTTGGCGTGCAATTTTCGGCAACTTCCGGTATTCGGATCACTTGTTATCTTTATCAAGACCAATTCTCCAACGTTAAACTTCTTCACATTTTTCCTAGCTTCATCATACCTCTTTTTCTGTTTCCTTTAATCAATTGTTATGTATTGTTTGGTTTTTTTCCCTAAACCAAACCACTTATCGCCGTGACTGGCGGCTGCGTCTAAGGTTGCAAAAGACGCTGCGATCAGTCGTCACCGCCGGACGCGTCAGCGAAACCGTACCTTTAGCTTTAAGGCTACAACAACGATGAGAATGCAGTGCTCTGATTGGTTGATTTTCCGAAACTTGTTACAAGGACTTTAAAAAAACGGCACATCAGAATTGGCTCAAATTCGGCATAAACATTCTTTGATCAATTATCTACAATTCACTTATTTCAGTTTTTCCATATTCTGTCTTTTTTTTTTTTAATTCAAAAATCATGTTCGTAACCACCAAAACAACTAAATGTGTTGGTGGTTGCATATTTGCATGTTTATCAAGCTCGGATCCGTGAAAAGCATATTTTATTGATAACCACGATAAAGTAAAAAAAGCTAATTCTAGATAATATATCAAATAATGTTTATGCCAAAGGATTTTGGATATTATTGCGGATTTTTTGAGATGATCTTAAAACGAATTTTTTCTACAAACGTGTTAAAAATGCAATTTTTAACACCCCCCCGTAGCATTAAAAATGTTACTTTATCGCACTAGTGCCATAAAGTCTTTATAGCACTAGTGTTAAAAATGAAACATCAAATTTTGAGAGCGAACGTCAAAAAACGTTTGTATTTTTAGTTATTTATATTGATATTAATGGTGAACTTTGAACAACTGAGGTAGCCCGATTAGCCGCCTCATCTATATTTTCCAAGGGATCGATGCAACCCTCTTTTTCTTCTGTATTTTGTTGCATTTTTAGCAAAAAGCATTACTGACCACGACAGACTTTCAAGAAACTGACAAGACATTTCATTACCTGTAAAACAAGGTGCTGGTTGTTTGGATTTTTTGACAAATGTCAAATTCAATAATTTTATGTAGGAAAGATGCTTCCAAGTTATTATTCATCTGGAAATCCAATTTGTTACTGGTTATTGCTTTTTATTGCCGTTTGTAGAAAAAATATTGTATGATATTTGTATTAAAAGTATTTTCAAGGCACTTATGTGAATTGCAGAATTCGCTTCGCTCATTCTGCAAACTTTCACATGCGTGCCTTAAAAATGTACTTTTTACGCTTATATCATAAATAACTATTATCTTTCTCTTTCACTAAGTGTTTCACCGACAGACAGATTCTGTGGTACTAGTCTCCCTAGCCTTCCCAAAAGCAACCCTTGATCCTTTATTCTTGAAACAGGGAAGCAGCATTTTCATGAGAACGCATACTCTCTCTTTGTCACTCCTTTTTTTATTTGCGTGGCTCTGACAAAGGCAGAACGATTATTCTCATAAGATCGCTGTTTCCCGGAGTCAAGAATACGCATTCTGAAAGCAAGGCTCTATACCCGCTGCTGCCTGTAATTGTTTTTCTATCTCTGGGCCCTTTTTTTATTGCCCGTTTTCTCTGACATTCTTGGGGTTTCAGGTCTGAACGATGTCTGAACCAATCTGACCCTTCCTTTCAGTAGTGCCTACTTGGTTTTATAAATGATAGAATTTATTTACATTGCATAAATTCTTACAGGAGATTTTCAATTTTTAGGTGCTTAAGGGGAGTGAATGCGCCTCGATGCCAAAATATTATTTCCTGCGCGAAGCACCTAACGCAGTCTATCATTGTATTCTTCCTCCCCTATTAATACTTCTTAGTGGGAATGAGATGAATGAAACAAGGAATGCATTGCGTTTTTAGTTTCAACGTAACTTTTTAGCAGTTGAAGTTATATCAAATTTCTTTTTTGCATTCGATTTATAATATAGGGAAGAATGGCGATATCTTTTTAGAAATCCGGTAATAGAAACGAGTTCTCCAAAAATTACAAAAATGTAATTCAAAAAACTGGAAAAAAACGAGAAAATTAATCAATTTATGGTGTCTTTTTTAATTAGCGCCAATCTTATGTGTGTTAGCAATACAATAGCACAAACCAGAATCCCAAAAATTATCTAGTTTTTTTTGTAGAAATTTAATTAATTCTTCTTGTCATTTTGCCTGTCTCTGTTATACCCGCAGCAAACCCTATGGCTCTTTCCTCCGCCTTTTTTGTGATAAATTTTAAATCGCTATCATGAAGGATCCAGCGCCAACCGGCCCAACAGTAGCCCAATGCAATAATCGCGATAAACCTCGCATCTTTATTAGTATTAACTTGTTGGGTAGTCGTATAGTTTGACGTGCGTTACAATATATTTTAAACGGCGCATTCAATACCCCTAAAGTAAATGCGCCCTATTGAAAAAATAGAAAAAAATACAATTCCTGGCTATTGAATTGTATTTTCTACGAGCGTGCATTTTTTATCACTTTCCCGCACGCATTTTAGTTCCGAAAATGTCACTTTCCCGCACTAGTGCGGGAAAGTGGCGCTCAAAGGGTCAGTTTTGTTAATTAATGAAACATTTTATCAATTTTGGCTGCATACATTTTTGCTATTTTAATCCATATTAATCTAATTTGTGGATCTTTCAAAAATTTAATAATTTTTTTTGACATTGTATACATTGTATGGTTTTTTTAACGTTGGTTAACATATCGACGGTGATCTGACAATACCTGCTAACTGACATTTTATTCAAAAATTAGATTTTTCTACAGTTAGCCTTGTATTTTTGTTAGGCACAATACGATAGAGCCTGCTATCTGCTATCTGCTTTCAATTAATATTTAATACGTCTGTTTAAAATTTAGATATTCAGTTGTAAATTTATTTAAATAAGAACGGTTTTTTATTCCCCCTGTAAAATTAACGTTTATGCACATAGCAGGTATTGTCAGATCACCGTCGATATGGTACTTGTATATATACTTGTATATAAACTTGTATATATGCTTGTATATATAATTGTATATATACTTGTATATATACTTGTATATAAACTTGTATATATACATATACCCTTGATACATAAATAACTATTGCAATTGAACGATTTCTTCAATAATATATCGCTTTGAATTTACTTGAATTAACTGCTTGCCCGAACTCCGCTTCGCGTCGTTCGGGTCAACGGCAGTCACGTGCGGGAAAGTATCACTTTCCGCACTTGTTAGGAAAATAACTATTTCAACAAAAACTACATATCTACAGCTTAGACAATTAGAAATTAAAATTTGACAAAGTGGATCAAAAAAAAAAATCTATGAAGCTCTGAAATTGGCAAAATTGTACACAATCTTGCAAAACTGTCTGACGTGACTCGAAAATTCGCCCAATAGTTGATTGAATTCGAAACCTTGGCGAATTTTCCGGACCATTCTAGAAGCAAAAACGCACTACAGAACGGAGTCGGCCACCGGGAGAAAAAAGGCAGTCATAATCTAGGGTCACCGTCAATTCGTCGTAAGTCAATATGTGGTACGTCAATTCGGCGTAAAGTCAAATCGTCGTAAAGCCAATTTGTCGTACACGTCAATTCGTCGTACAGTCAATTCGTCGTATAAAAATTCGTCGTATACATCAATTCGTCGTATACCTACTTCAATTCGTCGTATAGGTAATTCGTCGTTTACGTGAATTCGTCGTGTTTCAGGTATTATGGTAAAATATTAAAATGTATAAATTTACACTGTCTAGTTATTTCAGACATTACTAAAACCGATAATAACCCGGTTAGTTTGCGATTTTAATCAGACATCCATTGCAAACTAACCGGGTTATTATTGGTAAGTTTGATAATGTCTAATTTAAATTGCAAACTATTAACACGTTAATTCGTCGTATACGTCAATTCGTCATATTGTTAATTCGTCGTATTTCAGGTACGATGTTAAAATGTATAAATTTGCACTTTTACTGTTTCATCAGACATTATCAAACTTACCGATAATAAGGACCAATTACCTATATTGTCGTATACGTTATTTTACACTTCGGTAGGCTTGATATTGTCTGATTAAATGAAAAAGGTAAAAATTTATACATTTTAACATTATAGCTGAAATACGAAGAATTAACGCTACGACGAATTGACGTGCACGACAAATTGACTTTGCGACGAATTGACGTTTACGACGAATTGACTTTACGACGAATTGGCGTACGACGAATTGAATTACGACGAATTGACTTACGACGAATTGACATGGACTCGATAATCTAAATCGGATAATTATTGAGGAAGCGCAAGTCAATAGTAAGACATTCATTGAGATATAATTAAAAATACATACTTTTGCATGCAATTTTCATTCAACAGTAATCAGTAGTTGTTTTTGTTTGAAAAGTGCTAGGAACTTAATATGAATAACAGGAAATTGGAAAATTAATACGTAGTTAATTAGTCAAGTTTAAAGATTTATTGGCAAATTTGCTACGAAATTTCAAAATCGATAAATAATTTAATTAAATCATAAGCGATTTACCAAATTATTAACTACCTATTATTTTTTCTGTATTGCAATTTATAGAAATAATTACCTTAAATTTTGTTTTA